TCTCAAAATTAAAATTTTCAATATTTTTCAATTTCGACCAATTTTCAACCATTTTGGAGACTTAACCACTGACATTTTGTTATAAATTTCGACCTCTACAAGTTAGTTTCGGTCTCATTTTTTCGATAACTTCTATCACTTTTCCAATGTCGCTAACTGAAATATACAATTTTTTGGATTAAATAAAAATGGTTTTGAAAGCGAAACACGTCGAATTCTACGTCCCTGAATTTTTTGGATTTTTTCTGGCAACTTTTTCGAAGGTAAAATTTTTCAATGTTCCCCCTTCCATGAAAATGTGGCCCAATTTTCGAGTAGTTTCGATTAACCAAAGACATTTTCTCAAAGATTTCGGCTTTATCTTCTTTTCGGCCATTTTTACCAATTTTCCAAAATCGCCCATTTAGATATTGCAATTGATGGAAATAAAAAAAAAAAGATTTTCAAACCGAGTCTTACTCCGGGACCACAAAAACGCCGTATTTTTCGAATCAGCACGTCGAAATTTATATCCTAGATTTTTTTGGAAATTCTTTGACGACTTTCTCAAAATCAAAATTTTCAATATTTTTCAATTTCGGCCGATTTCCAACCATTTTGGAAACTTAACCACTGACATTTTGTTATAAATTTCGACTACAAGTTAGTTTCTTATAGACTTTTCCAAAATCGCCCATTGAAATATTGCAATTTTTTTTTATTAAAAAAATTTGCTTTTCAAATAACCTGTTTCCAAATTCTTGCTTCGAGAGTTAAAAACGTTATATTTTACTAATCAGTACGTCGAAATTTATTTTCCAAAATTGTTTGTGAATTTTTGGCAACTTTTTCACAACCAAAATTTTTCAAAATTTCGGCTAATTTTCGACCATTTTCGAATGTTAAGCCAAGGCAATTTTTTATAGATTTCGGCCTTCAGAAGACAGTTTGGGCCTAATTTTTCGATAAGTCCTTCCATTTTTTCAACGTCGCTTATTTAAATATGCAATTTTTGGATTAAAAAAAATATTTTTAAAACCGAATAAAAAAATTAGTACGTTGAAATCTACATTCCTGTTTTTTTTGACCACTTTTTTGTAAGCAAAATTTTTCAAAAATATGAAAATTTAGCCCAATTTTCGACGATTTTTTGTAAGCAAAATTTTTCAAAAATATGAAAATTTAGCCCAATTTTCGACGATTTTCGATTAACTAAATAAGTTTTGTTACAGATTTCGGCTTTTAGAAGTTAGTTTCGGCTTCTTTTTTCGATAATATTTATCACTTTTCCAAAATTACCCCTTGAAATCTTGTAATTAAAAAAAAATGATTTTCAAATAGAATACTTCCGAAGTCTTGCTTCGGGACCGCAGAAAAGCTATATTTTACTAATCAGTACGTCGAAATTTATATTCTAAAATTATTTAGAAATTTTTGGAAACTTTTTCAAAATAAAAATGTTTCAAAATTTCGACCACTTTTGAAACTTAACCAAAGACAAAATAATGGATTTCAACCTCTAGAAATTAGTTTCGGCCTCATTTCTTCCATAATTCCTTCCACTTTTCCAACGTCGCTAATTTAAATATGCAATTTTTGGATTTTAGAAAATGTAGGAGTATTTTAAAACCGAATACATATTTCTAAATCTTGCCCCGGGCTTTATTTTTGGAATCAGTACATTGAAATCTACATTCCCGAATTTTTTGGAAATTTTTTGACAACTTTTTCAAAAACAAAATTAAAAAAAAAAGAAAATTTCGGCCAACTTCCGACCATTTTCGATTAACTAAAGAGGTTTTGTTGTAGATTTCGGCCTTCAGAAGTTAGTTTTGGCTTCTTTTTTTCGATAACTTTTACCACTTATAGTTTTGGAAATTTCATTCTACCCTATACAATTTTATTGGCAATAACGAGACGGACACTAGTACAATAGCAAGAGATATTTACAACTTGTCGCGTGCCGATAATCCCCAGATGTTAGAAATCAGAATAATCCACGTCCGGACAGGGACCATCGTTACTCACGAACGAAAATGATCATAATTTTATTACTTACCATTGTACCACTGTCCGTCTCGTTATTGTCAATAAAATTTTATAGGATAGAATGAAATTTCCAAAACTATACTTACCACTATATTTTACGAATCAGTACATCGAAATCTAAATCCCAAAATTCACAAAAAATTAATAGTCTTTACAATATTCGGAATCTTCAAAGGGTTCAGAATTTTTAGTCTTTGAAATAGTTATTAGAATCTCCGGAATCTGTACAATCTGTAGAATTCCAGAATATCCGGAATATTTGAAATTTTTGGGATTTCCAGAATCTAGGATTTTTTAAATTTCTGAAAACCCTAGAACCTTTAAAAGTTTTATAATCCTCAGAATCTTCAGCAATCGAAGCACTCAGAATCTTCAGAATCTTCGAAATCTTTAGAATCGCCAGAATTGTTAGAATCTTTGGAATCTTCAGCATTTTCAGAATCTTTAGAATCTCCAAAATCTTCAAAATCTTTCGAATTTGGCACTTTAGGTATATCTGGAATCTCTAGTCTCGGAATATACTGAATTTTTGAAATTTTTGGAAATTCGGGAATATTTTATAATTTTTAGATTCTTCAGAATCATCAAAATTGTTAGAAAATTTAAAATCTTCAAACGCTTCAGAATCTTTAGAATTCTCAGAATTTTCGGATTCTTCAAAATCTTCAAAGCCTCCAGACTCTTCGGAATCTTTAGAACATTCGACTCTTTAAATTTTCTAGAATCTCTGGAACCTTTGGAATCTTTATACATGTCTTCAGAATCTCCAGAACCTCAAAGTCCTTAGATTTTTTCGAATCTTTAGAATCTTCAGGGTTTCTAGGATTTTTAAGATCTTTAAGATCTTTGGGATCTTTGAGATCTTTAGCATCTTTAGTATCTGTAGAATCCCAGAATATCTGGAATCTTAGGGACATTTTAAAATTTCTGGAATCTGTGGAACCCCTAGAATCTTTATGATTTTCAGCATCTTCGGAATCCTCAAAGTCTTAAGATTTTTTGTAATCTTTAATCTTCCAAATACCATAATATTCAGAATTTTCGGAATCTTTAAAATCAAAATCGTCAGAATTTTCAAAATCTCCAAGGTCTTTGGAATCTTTGAAATCTCCAAAATCTTCAAAGTTTTCAAATTTTTAGAAAACGCGTAACTTTGAAATTAACTTAGTAAAATAGAAAGAAAATGGAGAAAGATAGACAGAAATGGAAAAACAGAGAGACAGGAAGAGGAAAAGAAAGAAGAGGGGATAGAACAGAGAAGGAGAGGAGGAGAGACAGGGAAGAGGGAGAGGGTGCCGAAAGAGAGAAGAAGGAAACGAAGGCGGAATAAATTTTCACGCCACGTTTAATAAAAAGAAAGGAATTGGAGAAAGGTAGAGAGAAAATCAGAGAGAGTAGAAGAGGGGAGCAGATAGAAAAAGAGCGAAGGAAAGCGAGATGACAAAGGAACAACAAGACAGAGTATAGAAAAGAGAAATATAGAAAAATAAAGCGAGAGAAAGACGAAGGAATGAAAAAAGGGGGAGAACGAAAGAGATAAGAAGGCGGAAAAGTAAGGAAGCGATAATAATAATAATAATAATAATAATAATGTTTATTAACGGATATACCTTTACATAGAATTATTAACATACAATTACCTTTACATAGAGTTATAAACATAAGATAAGAAAAAGGGGGGAGGAACTTTGGAGGGAAAGAAGAGGGAGCACAGAAAGAAGAGTGAGAATCCCGGAATATCCGGAATTTTTGAAATTTTTGGAATTTCTAGAATCTAGGACTTTTTACATTTCTGAAAACTATAGAATTTTTAAAATTTTTATAATCCTCAGAATCTTCAGCAATAGGAATACTCAGAATCTTTAGAATCTTCTAAATCTTTAGAATCGCCAGAATTGTTAGCATCTTTGGAATCTGCAGCACTTTCAGAATCTTTAGAATCTCCAGAATCTTCAAAATATTTGGAATTTTTAGAATTTCTGGAATCTCAAGGGTCTCGAAATATCTGGGACTTTAGGTGTATCTGGAATCTCTAGAGTCTCGGAATATATTGAATTTTTGAAATTTTTGGAATTTCGGGAACTTTGGGTTTTTTATAATCTTTAGATTCTTCAGAATCATCAAAATTGTTACAAACTTTGAAATCTTCAGAAGTTTCAGAATCTTTAAAATTCATAGAATTTTCGGAATCTTTAGAACATTCGACTCTTTAAAATTTCTAGAATCTCTGGAACCTTTGGAATCTTTATACACACTCTTCAGAATCTCCAGAACCTCAAAATCCTTAATTTTTTGAAATCTTTAAAATCTTCAGGATTTTAAGAATTTTTAAGATCTTTAGGATCTTTGAGATCTTTAGCATCTTTAGTATATGTAGAATCCCAAAATATCTGGAATCTTAGGGACATTTTAAAATTTCTGGAATCTGTGGAACCCCTGGAATCTTTATAATTTTCAGCATCTTCGGAATCTTCAAAGTCTTAAGATTTTTTGTAATCTTTAATCTTCCAAATACCATGAATATTCAGAATTTTCGGAATCTTTAAAATCTAAATCGTCAGAATTTATAATGTCACGAAATATCCGGAATTTTTGGAATGTCTGGAACCGTTGGAATCTTTGAAATCTCCGAAATCTTCAAAGTTTTCAGATTTTTATAAAACGCGTAACTTTGGAATTAACGTAGTAAAATAGACAGAAAATGGAGAAAGATAGACAGAAAGGGAAAAAACAGAGAGACAGGAAGAGGGAAAGAAAGAAGAGGGGATAGAACAGAGAAGGGGAGAAGGGAAGGAGGAGAGAGAGGGAAGAGGGAGAGGGTGACGAAAGAGAGAAGAAAGAAACGAAGAAATATAGAAAGATAAAGCGAGAGAAAGACGAAGGAATGAAAAAAGAAGAAGAACGGAAGAAGAGTGAGAAAGAGGACAGAGAGGAAAGAAAGGAAAAAAAAGACAGAGGAGTACAAATATGACTTCTTCCACTCAGCAATTATTTATTTTATAACAAATTTGCATCCAATAAAAAAGCTCCAACAACTATACAACATAATCGGTATCTTGAATGTTGATTTTGATCCACTCCTCGAATTTCTTTAACATTTCTGGCGACATCGCAGTCTTATGTTCTCCCGTTTTCCCCGACCTCAAAAATTTTCCCTCAGGACAGTTTTGTGCCAACTTAAATTTTTTGGTGAAGTCACTCAGAAATTCCTTATTAACAGCATTATTTTTGCTCATCGACTCAAAACTAAGATGTTTGGCCAAAATTTGAACCTTTTCTTCGGTTAAAGGGCGCTCCAAAAATCCAGCGACTGTGCGAACAACTCCGCTTAAGTTGGTCTTCATATCTTCGTACTTGATAAAAAGCAAATTGGGGGAGTGTCTCAGGTTCCAGTATGGGAGAACGTGCTTCCAGAACGGACCATACATAACTAAATTTCGACAAGATGAAAACAATTGATTATATTATTAATTAATAGAAACGAAATTGTTACTTTTTCCGGCTAAAAATAGTTCGCAGAATTCGTCAAAATTTCCAGAAAACCCTTCCAGGAGTCGACAGTGGTGGTAAAAAGAAATACAGGCGTCTCTTGGGTCGCGTGACACATAAATCACCTAAACCACGTGTTTAAAAGTGGTAAATGGTTGAACATACCATACCTTTGGTTTTTTCAAACCATTCCGTATCTGCTTGGGCAACAAAACCAGAGGTAGATGGGTTTTCACGACCACTGGACTTTTCAAACTTTTGTACAACCCAATCGGGTCGTGCACACATGGAGGAAAATTATTTTCTTCAGGGTTTTGATCATGCCATTCTCGATCGTCGAAGACGAAGGAAAAGCTGCATGTTTTTTTTTATTTTCATTCAACTACGAAGAAAATTTTTGGCCACTTACTCTATAAACGGGCAACGATCGTCTAGGTTCACTTTTCCACCTTCAAAATCCAGATTGTTGATGATCATCCACACCATTTCTTGCGTCCACGTTGTACCTTTCATACTATTAGTTTTTCGTTTTTGAGTGAGTTAGAGTCTTACCAACTTTGGGAAATGTACAAATCCAAACGTCGCTTTCGTTGACTTCTAGATTATCTAAGTCTTCTTTCACGTCGTCGTATCTTTCAGTGAGAGTGGTACCTTCCACCGTTATGTAGCCTTTTTTGAAAATGTTTGTGAATTTTTCGTGCAGGAGTTTGTCGAGTTCCATGTTAAAAGAACGTCTGAGTTCGTACAAAATCTTTTAAAATGGTGATTACTTAGGTGATTGGTTTAATACTTATAAGCAAATAGGTTATCGTTAGCATTTATGTTATCAAGTGCAGCGAAAACACATGAGAATGCAGACGTAAATAGGAGCGATAAGTAGCGTTTATCTGCTTTCTGATAACGTTAAACTTAGAATAAATATTTGCGTCAAAATGTGACGAATTATTTTTTTTAAGCACGGATTAATTGTGTTCCGGCTTCAGCAGCCGCCACGAGCGTCCTCACAGCCAACTGTCACACATTGTCCTTAATCCGCGCGCTCTGATAAATGAAAATCGCCGTCAAAAGTTGGAAGTTAGGCGCGCAATCCTGATTGTTCGCCGCCCCCACCTGAGAGCCCGGACTTTCAATTCCGGGTCTCCGGGTCATGCCGCCGGCCGAGAAGAATTGAAAACCATTACTGCTGATGAAAGAAAAGTTTTCTACTAAGTTTCAAGTCCCTTTGTCCCCTGCAGGAACGTTCCTTTACCTCCATTTGATTTGTATTTTCCGCCAGGACTAATTCGCCGAGCTCACCTTTATTTTTTTCACTTAGGCTGGAAATTGTTTCATTTCAGGATTATTGTTTTAAATCCTTCGCATGGAAGGAATTCGTAATGGGAGAATTACGGACGGAAAGAAATATCAGACGAGTCCGACGACAGGAGGCGAGGTGGAAAGGACGATTTTCATAATGGACTTGATTCGGAGAGAAAGAGTGTGCCAGGGAGCGGAGTGAAGGATTTATAGACAACCTTGTGTCGTGGGTAGGGTTTTAAAAGGAGCTGAAACTATTAAAAATAAATACGCGTGTTAATATAGACATTGCTGAAAATTTATCCTACCGACTGCGCCACTTTCGCAACGCGAATTAAAAATGTTTGGAAAATCGTCACAGTGGAATAAAATTCGTGAACTTAACCGCTTATCACGTCATCTGCTCCACGTCAGGTGATACATTAGTCTCAAGCGCACTCTAGCCCTTCCTCCCCTAACTCGCTCTTTCGGAACCGCCGACGAGGGAGACTTCATTCAGGAGATCAACCCGGAATTCTTCCCAAGTTAAAATAAACTTTTATTAGTCGATGCAGCTCGGCTCATCAATATCGGAATGCGACTGAAAAACGTCAAAATAATAAATCGACCTTATGGAAAAATGACAGGTAATGGTGGGAAGGTTCCCGTAGGAAAATGGCTCGTTTACGCCGATCGTTGGGAGGTTATTGGCTTTTGTGAATGGTATATAAACTGCCTCCACCTCAGAATGTTCGGAATTTTTATCTACAATAAGATGGCGATTTATGCACGATAAATCTAAATTTATCAGAACCGGTGTTCGGGGGAAAGTCGACGGGCCGAAAATACGAAGATGAAAAGAGGATGTGTCGGAATAAATTGCGCGCTGCAAGCGAAAAGGCTTCATTAGAAGTGACGTATGCACTTAATTTAGCGCCCGATAGTGTTATTATTATGGACAATGCACCGATTACACGCACGTACGTTTCAAAGTGCACTGAGGTTTTTTAAGCTCGGGATTAGGTTCTCTGGACGCTCGCACGTGTGCATTAGTGGCTCCCTCAAATCCTGATGAATATTCAGGTGAGACAAAGAGCCTCTGGAATTTTTCGAAGTCGATTAACACTAGTGCGTGTTTATGGTTCTCCAATAGCGAACTAGGCGAGGATAACGGAGCAGAACAAAGATGTATGGCTCGCTAACATGATTTACTAACTGATTCCTAGTGGAGCAAGGGAGACAAAGCCACCGAGCTCCCACAGGAGTAGTGCGGTTTACACCTCAAGGTTTTAAAATAAAACCAAGGCCGATTCAATCAAGGCGACGCCGCTCTTGTTAGAAAAATAAATCCGCGTTAATCGTTTTATCATCGAGGCTAAAAGGGCAGTTCAGGGGAAAATCGATACGGGTTTGCTGCAGGTGTCATTATTAGAGGGTGTAACAATGGAATTACGTGGATTATCGACGTTTCTCTGCAACTAACTGGAGTTATTTTAAAGCGGATTAGGGGATGATTATTAAGCGACGACACTCCATCAGCATGTAATTATTGGAGGCACGTTTCCTGATAAAGAAGGAATAAATCACGGGATGTTCACACGAACGTCGAGCATGTTTTTTGTGATCGAATCAAATCTCCGATTACGACATTCCGGAGTATCGAAAAATTCTCTCCCAAGTTCCATAAAGAGTCAGCTAAGCGCGTTGGCTATGCAGTTCACGGAAACATAACAGGAGGAGCGGGCCTGCGGCATCTACGGCCCTTGATTACCACGGTCTCCATTTTCGTCCCCATCTCACACGGCAATGGTCGGTCGAATAAATTCCGCAGCCATCTCGCTACAGCAATATAGACAATGATGTTATATCGGCCGCAGCACACCTTGCATAGTCCGTGAGGGAAATACCATTAGCGACTCCCTAAGAAACAGAGGGGGACTGTTTAATATTGTATGTTGCGGCTGTCTGCGTTCCTCTTCTTTCTTTTTCGAGGTTTAAACTGATTACGGCGGCGGAGAGGTACAACGGCTGTAATTAGATCGACTATCGCCAATATGTCAACTTGTCAAGGGTACAAATGGCGCGGGAAAAGTCACACGTACGATTATATTTAGCGGGGGATGGAGGGATGGTGGAAAACTATGGAAAGCGTCGACGGGTAGTTGGACCGCTTTTATCAGTGTGTCGCCATCGTAAGATTTCTTTTTGAAACTTCCTTAAGTTACTTGAAACTTCTCAATTTTTGCAGCTTTTAATAAAAGATATGCAAAGCAGATTAGGGTCAAGGCAGATGAAGTTTGGCTAAGTCAAGTCTATTCCGGTTAGTCTAGTTCAGATCAGTTCACTTCAGATCATATCATGTCAAACCAACGCAGATTAGATCAGGCCAGTTAAGGTTGGATCAAATCTTAAATATTAAGTTTAAGGTCAGGTGCAAATCAGTTCATTTCAAATTAGGCCAAGTCAGGCCAGCTCAGGTTAGATCAGGTTAGGCAGGTCGGGTCAAGTCTGTTCAGGTCTGGTAAATTCAGCTTGTAAAACAAATTGTAACAGAATTTAAGGTTTGAAGGAAATAATTCCATTTTAGAGGTTCTGGTTATTATTTCGGTAAAAAATATTGCTTATTACTTGGTTATTTTCATATTTTTCAAGCTTGATCCACCACAACATTCCCCGCAAAAAGTAAAAATATGCTCAACATCATTTTCCAGTGTCCTTAATTTGCAATTACTTTCTACAATTTTCTGGAAGGAAACAAAACCAACTGAATGTAATTAATTTTTTCCAGAAAATTATTTTTTCACTTGAATTTTGAAGCACGTTTTGTAAATTTAGAAAAACAACTACCAAATTCAACATTTGAAAGTAGTAATTTCACTTTAGAGACTCAAAAAAAAAGTGCTATATATAGTTTTCAACCGTCTTTAATTTGTAATTGTGCACGATTTGTAAAACTAGAAAACTGCAACAGAATGAACATGTAAACGAAAATTTCACTCTATGAGACCAGGGTTATTATTTCGGTCAAAAATTTTGCTCATGATTAGACCATTTTTACATATTTCAAACCTGATCCACCACAACACTCCCCACAGTTCATGTCGGGTTTAAACAACCCAGCTCCACACAACATTTATTGTAAAATAAAAATTGGCTGAAAAGATAAAATCGTATTTGTACTCCTCTTTCCTCTTTCCTTATTCGCCTCTCTCGTCCTCCTTCTCATTCTTTGCGTCATTCTTTCTCTCTTTCTTTTCCTTATGGTTCCACTCATCCTTTGTCCCGTCCTCTCTCTCATCCTCCCTATTCTCTTTCTTCTTCTTCTCTCTCTCGTCCTTTCGTTTTTCCTCCTTTTATCTGTTTCCCTCGTTCCCTCTTTTCTATTTCCTCAAACCTCTCTATCTTTCTCCGAAAATTTATTGCAATTTTTTTCTGCAATAAAAGAATGAAAGTTTCTGAGAATCTTTCACATTAGTTTTCAAAAAAACATCAAGAATCTACAACATTCTTTCAACCCTCAAAATTGTACACTGAGGGTCTTCGAATTTTTTTTCAAATTGTTTTAAAATAACAAAAATACCAGGGTTCCAGGTGATTTTTTAAATTCTTTCTAAAATAAAATAATAGGAGTAGAAGTTTACGAGAATCCTTCACATTGATTTTCAACAACGCATCAGGAAACTCCAAGATTCTTTCAAGTTGTATCAAAATTAAACACGAAAGGCCTTTGAGATTCTCTCAAATTCTTTCGAAAATAAAACACTTGACATCTCGAAATTCTAAAAATATTCTTGAAAAACAGACTTCAAGATCAACCAAAATTTTTGGAAAAAAGACACTTCGAGTCTTCAAGGTTCTTTTAAATTCTTTCAAAATCAAAAAAATGTCAGGGCCCTATGTAACTTTTCAATTTTTTTCTCAAATAAACGAATGAAAGTTTGAGAATCTTTCATTAATTTTCAGCTTGACATTAGGAATTTTCAAGATTCTTTCAAATTCTATCAAAATTAAAAACCACAGGCCTCTGAGATTCTTTCCAATTCTTTCTAAAATAAAACAGTGGTAGTTTCTGATAGTCTTTCATATTAGTTTTCAACAACACATCAGGAAACTCCAATATCCTTTCAAATTCTGTCAAAAATAATCACCATAGGCCTCCGAGATTCTTCCAAATTCTTTCTAAAATAAAAGAATGGGAGTTTCTGAAAATCTTTCATATTAGTTTTCAACAAAACATCAGGAAACTATAATATTCTTTCAAATTCTGTCAAAAATAAACACCATAGGCCACTGAGATTCTCTCAAATTCTTTCGAAAATAAAACACAAGCCATTCCGAAATTATAAAAACATTCTTGAAAAACGGACATTAAGATCAGAAAAAGATTTATGAAAAAAGACACTTGGGGCCTTCAAGGTTGTTCTAAATTCTTTCAAAATCAAATAAATGTTAGGTCTCTCCGTGATTTTTAATTTTTTTCTAAAATTAAAGAATTGAAGTTTACGAGAAATCTTCACATTATTTTTCAACAAAACATCAGAAATCTCCAAGAT